CTCGGCGCTCTTTTTGTAAAGCAACTACAACTCCCACTTTGTACTTCCACCATTCCTGCGGAAGACATGGAACTGGTTTTTGTTTTATATGTTTTTCTATTTGTTTTTGGTGAGTGATCTCTCTCTTTCTTCCTGGACTGTGCTCAAAGGGAAGAAGGAGAGCATTTATGTGTGTGTACTGGTCGCCCAACTTCTCGGTGTACTTGCCCACGCTTCGGCTTCATTTTACGGGGTTTGTGTTTATTGTGTTTTGATGGTTGTTTGTGTTTTTTTGTTCGACTGCGCCCATTCCTCGCGCTGCGTGTTTTTGCTTCCATTGCATTTCTGTTCCTGCGCCTAGCTGTTGTTTGTGTTGATTTGCTATCTCATTGCATCTTGCAGTCCTTCTTTTCTTATTGCTTTGTTTTCTTTTTGTCCGTGCATGTCCTCTGCATGTGTAGGATTTAACACACACACACACACACACCATGTCGCTCACGCTGTGGGGCGGTGTGAACCTTTGAGGACTCGTGCATGCACGGGTGTTCTGGTGGCGGCAGCCCTTGACAGCGTGCCCGTGGCGCTCAAGCCGTGATGGTTTGGCCGCGAGAACGGGATGGAGGAGGTGCTGCTGCAATTTTAGTCAGTGCGGCCGCTACCCCGCGCTGAGACGGAGGAGGGCTGCGTCTTCGAGTCCGTCGCCATCCTGCGGCACATCGCGCGTCTCGATCTGGGCGGCGGCTTCCTGCAGGGCTGAACACTGCCAGAGAGCGGACGGGTGGAGTTGCAGGCAGCTCCTGTGGCGGGGCCGACCAACCGGTCGCGGTGCGGTGGTGGTGCAGTGCCTGGTGCCGGGGGATGCGAGGTGCCCGCGCTGCCATTGGTATGCCAAGGTTGGGGCGGGCGTTGTTCCACCAGAGCGGGAACACGCGGCTTCGGTGGTACGTTGGGGTGGGGCGTGACCTCGTGCCGTTCCGCTGCACGCGCAGACCCGGCACTGTCCCTCTGTCTCGCAGGGCGCAGTGGAGTGGTTGGAGCGTGTTCCGGCTGAAAGGACTGGCGCTGGCACCGGGGCGCGGCGGACTTGTGCTCCTTGCACGAGGCGCGTTTCTTGTCTGAGGAATGGGGTGGCTTCCCTTTTCCTTCGGCGGCTGGCGGGCGGGCTTCGCCCCGCCACCACAACGAGGCTGTGGTCTTTGAGTGTTTGTCGGGGGCGGCGTTGGGACCACACACCGGCGCAGGGAGGAAAGCGGCAAGGCGCCGAAGGCCACTGCAGCGTCACGGCTTCAGTGCTTTGCTGCACGCAAAGGATGATAACTTGTTTGCCGTGTGCGAGAGAAGGGACAATGAGACAAGCAGCCTTTTTCTTGTGCCCCTCACCGAGCAGCTGCAGCGGGTCACATGGCTGGGCAGCCTGCAGCTCTCCCGTGCCTGCGGATGGGTTGGTTGGCTTTTGGTCCGGTGCTGGGAATGCCACCCAATGGGCCGGCGATTACCGTTGGATGAACGCCACGGTGAGTGGCGCGACAAGGATTGCCGACGGCTTTAACATGACGGGGCCCGCGTCACGGATTGTGCGGCCAGTGATTGAGCGGGCGGGGGCCCCGGCGTACAGCTTTGGTGGGCGTGAGCGTGGGCTGGCACGTGCAGGAGCTGAGCACGAGCTACGACGGGAAGAAGCGCTGGCGGACGGGCGGCGGTCGGGGTCGTGGCTTTGCGTAAGTCTCGTGTGGAGGCCATCGAGGGGTGGGACAGAGAGGCGGCGGTGCCGAAGGGCCCTCTAAGAGAGAAGGCGTTGGTGGGGGCTGCGGAGAGTGTGCGCGGTATCCCCTGCACGTTGGGGCGTGAAGGCAGGAGGGGTCTACGCGGCGGGTTCACGGTGGGTCGCTCAGAGGAGCCTCGTGATCGCACGCTCTTTTGCTGCTGGGCGGTGGAGGCTCAGCGGGAGTGGAAGGAGTGTGGGATGCTCCATGCCGTCCTTGAGGCCCAGCCCGCATGAACTTCGTCAGGAGGAGGCGAAACAAAAAAAGGCTGCGCTGCCGTCTGACTTCCGTCAGCCCACGCAGTGCGTAGGCATGGGACCAAAGACGTTGTTGTTGTTGTTTTCTTTCTTTGGAGGCATTTTATTGTGAATTTCCGGCGTGGGAGGACGGTTGGGCTACAGGTTGCTGCGGCGGCGCCGG